TTTTATTTTAATTTTTCTCGATTAAATCATTTATTATTGATTGTATTAATATTTGAAAAGTTATGTTTTTTTAGGCTTAAAATTTTATGTTGATCCTCGGAAATAGCTGTAACATTTTTTATGTTAATATATATTGGGAAATGATCACTTATATTAATCTTAAATATACCTGCCTCAAATGACGTTTTTAAGTAATTGTTAATATATATTGGGAAATGATCACTTATATTAATCTTAAATATACCTGCCTCAAATGACGTTTTTAAGTAATTGTTAATAAAAATATTACCGATGGCGGTGGCAGGAGTTCTATTTACCCGAGTCGGTTTATTAATTACAGGCATAACATTGTATTTAAATAATTTAAATAACATGTCAAAAAAGGATTTTGTTTTAGGAAATTTGTGATATGTTAGAGCGTTCAAATTTGTATCACCAATGATATATAATTTTTTTCTTTCATCGTTTATTTTTATAATTCTATCTTCGATAAAGTCTTGAAATGATCTAATTTTACCACTTGGTAGTCGGTATATACATCCAATTATAATGTTTTTATTTTTTTGATTGATTACTTCGATAAAAAGACTTTCATAGTTAATATTTGCAACATATAATTGCTTTTTTATTTTAAAAGAATATTTTTCAAGTATATAAATACCCCGCCTTTATTATTTCCTCGTGTTTGGCTAATTAGTTTATAATTTGACAAACTGTATTTAGAAATTAATTCCAACGGACTTTCTGATTCTTGCCAAGTCTCTGACAGAGATATGACGTCGAACGTGTAATTTATAATATCTTAAAATTCTTTTAACTTCTCAAAATTTTGACGCATGCTTCTTATGTTCAAATGTAATATAGAAAAAGGATTTTCTTATTTTTTTTATTTTTAATCTTAAATGGATCAAAATATGGTGTTTTTATTAAACTCATCTGAGTTCCTTGAAAAATATTTAAGCTCTCTTCAGAAGGATTATTAAAAAGATTGTCCTCAAAAGGATCAGAAATTAAATTTTCAAAATCAACTTTCTCAAAAACATTAATCGCCATTTTTGATAAAAGAGTAATCTTATATATGAATTTTTTTTTAATAAAAATATAATTTATTTATTTTTTATATAATATGCAAATTTTTCACTTCCGCTCGATTTATCTTGTTTGAATTCACGAACTAATAGTTTATTATATATAACTTTGGCAAAATAACCATTTTGCTTATGGGGGTTTGACTGTGCAAATAGCTATTTGCAAAATTTTCTCGTCGTCTCACTAAAACCTTCATTAATATAAATATTCGTTACTTTTAGTTTCGGGACATTTTCCATTATTATTAATCTTCAAAAATGTGCAGTTTTAAAACAACAGTTCTCTCTCGACCAGGATTAACTTTGCCGATTCTATGTGCACGTTCGATTTTTATTTCTTGATCAAATTCAAGCTTTTCAGCAAACAATTTCTTCACTTCAATTTTGGTGACTTCTCAATCATTCTCGTCACCACTTTCCATCAATTCGTAAATTACTTCTCCTGTTCCGATCTTCTTTATCAACGCTTTTTAGTTTGAGGTCTTGAGTTTTTAGGTTGAGGTTATCCAATGAAACTTCTCCTTGAATTTTTTTTACATTTATTATTTCTTCCGTTACTTTATTAATTTTTTCATCAAACGCTTTTACGTTTTCATCACAAATATCACCAATTAAGTTCATACCAACTTTAATTTCGTGGAGTTTATTCTTTAAATCTTGAACATTTTTTTGAAACGATTCAATTTGTAGGTTAAAGTTGGTAACCGTTGGTAACCGTTTCTCGAAAAATGCTTATGATCATTTCTTTTTGAATATTCATTAGTTCACGCATCATTGTAACTGAAATATACTCCTTTTGTTTATTCATTATTAGTTAAATAAAATTATAGATATATAAACAAAAATTTTTTAAATTAAGTTTAAACGATTTTATGAAAAATTTACAACACTTCCGATTATTTCCGTGTCTAATTGAGCATATATATCGCCCGGCAATTTGCTCTATATAAATCTAATTGAGCAAAATAAGGTCATCTACATGGTAATCTAATTGAGCACCCCGAAAAAAATCCACCCGAAATAATCCTACGAGATAAAATCCTCCCGAAACCTCCCTCCCCCCAGAAAAAATCCTCCTGAAAAAAATCCCTTCGGAAAAAATCCCCCCCCCCCCCAATAAATTTTTTTTAATTAAAAATTATCAATAAAATAGTTATATTTATTTAAAATAATTTTATAAAATACTTCATTTTTCATCAAAATGTCTAGTTATGCGCTATTCCTCGGTTGTCGGTAAAATGCGAACTGCGAACCGGTAAAATACGAACTTTTTTGCGAAACAAAACATTATTTTAAAGACCTTTTTTTTTTATGATAAAAATAATAATAAAAAAAAATCCTCCAATTCTTAATTATCTATTTTAAAGCTTTATTTAAAATAAAATTTTTATTTTTTAACTGTAAAATATGCGCGGAGTGTTGCTACATCGACTGTCTTATAGCCTGACTCGCAACGGAGTGCTTCTACATCGACTGACAAATAGCCTGACTCGCAACGGAGTGCTGCTACATCAACTGAGGGTTTGGCAGGCATTCTATCAAATAATTAAAAAATATTTATATATTTTCATATTGTATTCGTCTAGTTTCACTTAATTTCCTTTTATTTATTTTTTTTAAATAATTTTTTGCTTAAATATCGATATTTAAGCAAAAAATTATTTAAAAATTTTAAGGATATCCTTAAAATATACCGCTAAATTAACTACGATAGTTCGCAAAAAAGTTCACATTTTACCAGTTCATAGTTCGTCAGGGTTTGGGTAGGGTTAGGGTTTCACATTCGCTACCTTCGAGGAATAGCGCATAACTTGACATTTGATGAAAAATGAAGTATTTTATATAAATATTTAAAATAAATAAAGAAATAAACATTACTACATACTGATAACTTTTAAGTAAAAACAATTTTTTTTTAGGGGGATATTTTCCGCGGGGATTTTTTCTCGGGGGATTATTTCGAAGGGATATTTTTCTCGGGGAATTTTTTCCTAGAACCGTTTTCGTAATAGCAATTAGTCTGCTGTAATGCAGATAATTGATAGTTAATGGGAAGAGTTATTCCTATTTGAAATAATTAAATTTACTAAAACCAATGCGTAATTGTTAAATTTTAATTAGTTTTAAAGAATATAAAAAAAGGATACACTAAGAAACTTAGTTAAAATATATTTGTTAAGTTTATCTCTAATAAATTATAAAAATTTAAAATGATGAACCTAATCTTTCAACACTTCACAAAAATCTTTATTAATTGAAGGTAACAATGGTAGAAATTTTAATTCTTATAATTTTAATAGATTTTTATGCAACGTGTATACAGTGCTCCAGCGAACTGAAAATGTGCCAAAGCAGTATCTATAAAATAGCGATTTTAACATAAAATTGCGATATGTTGCGAGAATAAAGATAAAAACGCGATTTAATCGTAATCGCTGCGATTTTTGTGCTTGTAAATCGAAAAAGTCGCATTTCAATTAGTTAGCGGCTAATCCTAATTGAAAAAAAATCGTTTCGCAATTATCTAACTAAATACCACAATCGTAAATAATCGCATTCGATTTCTTTTCAAAAACCACTATTGAACTTTACCGCATAACCGTATTGCGGTAACGCCTGTGGTAAGTATAATCATTGCAGCATTCAAATTAAGTGAAGTTTGCTCAAATGTGTCACTAATTTTCTCAATAGTGACTGAGAGACGAGAAAGGATAACGTTTTCTAAGACGTTCAGCTGACCAGGAACATTAGTAAACTTTAGCCCACTAGTTTACATAGGTTTCAGAATGTCTAGTCTTGCAATGGGATGTCTGGAAGAGAACAAATATGTTTTTTCTTACCAAGTAATACAATATTCTTGAATATCAAAATTTTTTTTTTGAAAAAAAAAAATAAAAAAAAATAAATAATTGAACTGCAGTTTGATAAAGGCAATAAAAAGAGCTACGTTTTGAGAATCAATACTTTAAAATCGGACAAAAAATAAAAAAGTTAAAAATATAAAGGTTCAGACAAAATCAAGTACTGTTTCGATTTACTAAAATCCAAGTTAGCGGACGCAAAAGACGCTAACTTGGATTTTAGGGGTTAGGGGTCGTCAAATTAAGAATTTGGTAAGAGAATCTATCTGTTGCACTTATCTAATATAGAGTCTAGCTACTATTTTTGCTATTAAAATGAGTTCATTATTATGACAAATTTTTGGCATGTAATATTTGTAATGGTTTTCGGGTATTTAGGCAGACTCTGCGCCACTGTGCGATGATAAGGAATGAATGTTAAAGATCATTGGAAACTGAGATTTAAAAATGTTATTTTCACTATCAAGTAAGCAGCTAATGCAGATAATAAGCAGCTAATGCAGCGATGATAAACACGGATATATTATCGTTACATTTTTTAAATCTAGGTTAACATTTTATATCAACCTAGTTAATAGAAGTAATATAGTGATAATAAAGTTAGATATATTGAGCAGAAAATTACAATATTTACAATGCTATTATATGTAAACGTTAGGAGGTACAAATTTTTATTAAAAAAATTATAAAATATATATTTATATACATATTTACAGTATAAAATTCAGTTATTTTTTAAATATTCAGCGTTAAAAAAATGACCAGGAGAGACCCAAGCTTTTACAAAAATCATATTTAATAAAGAGCAATGAAAAATCTTCAAAAAGTAAAAAGTAAGCTATGTTTGTTTGGATATAAAAAAAAAAAAAATAAAAAAAGAAAGATATATAAAAAAATAAAGATATAAACCAATATTACTAGTTTGTACTCTAGCAACCTTCCGCGAACGCGTTAGCAAAAGTTTTATCATGATTTAATCAATTTATTTTTCATATTAATTCAAATATCTTATTAAGCAAAAACTTTTTTGAAAACAAATTAAAAACTTGTGTAAGAAAACAATATTCAAACACAGTTATATAAATATTACACACTAAACTACATTAACATATTACACACTGCATTAACACATTAGTGAAAATTATTTAACAATATACAGCATTTGGGGTCGTCCATAAAGTACGTACGCTTTTTTTTCGCTAACCCCCCCTACCCCCGCAATTTCCCGTACGCTTTTTTGATTACTCTTTACCTCCCTAAAAGTACCTACGCTTTTAACCTACTAACCCAACATTTTATGATATTTTTTTTTAATTTAGTGTCACCATACTTTTATAATTGACCTACTGCCCCCTTATCTCAGAAACGCCATAATCTTCCTCTTCGAGTGTACGTACTTTATGGACGATCCCTTTTTACTCCAATTTTAAAATAATAATCTGACATTTATTATAAAAAGTAAAATGAAATTTATTGTTCCAAAGCCTCTATGACTGAACGAATTAAATAAGGATTCTGAAGTATACCATTATGCTCTCCCATCGGAAACATTCGATGAATAATTTGTTGTTTCTGCTTACCTTGCCAAAGCCTACACCCTTCTAAGCTTTTTAAGTTTACAGTTCCATCTCCATCGCCATAATATATATTAGGATAGTTATCTTTAGCAAATCCAGATTTATAATACAAAACTTCAGGAGTTTCAACAAGATTTCCATAAAAACAATACATTTTCACTCCAGGGGGTTCATTACTCCAAACTTCTGGGACCAATTTTAAAATCTTTTGAGCAATTGGATAGTTTATATCTTCAAAGAGAGTATCATAGTCCTTTACAGTATAACTTCGATCATTAGTCTTCACAATTACCTAAAATTATTTTTTAAAAATAAGGTGCACAAATTTTTGATAAAAGTACATCTTTTTGTTTTAATAGGAAAACCTACCTCCCCCACCTTTCTATTTTTGTAGCAAGGAAACGTAGAAGTACAGCAATATTGGAATTTTATGAAAACAGATAAGTATTAAGGTAAATGAGGAAGTAATCGACCATGTGCCACTAAGTGACCATTTAGAATGAAAATAGTTTAAATAAGCCCTACTCTTTTACAAATTTAAAAAGCAAATACAAATTTACAAATTTAAAAAGCAAGGGAAAACTGCTCTCCTGCCATTTGACTGTGCATTCGTAAACACGGCAAACATTTGGCAGTTTTGAATAAAGATTACTGAGACTCAATGTAATGTGTTACGGTTTTGTCTAATTATTTAAATTTTCTTACATATTTTGCTAAGATGCCGCAACTACGGTTATTTTTATAAGGTAGGCACCTTTTATTTTAACATAAGATGATTATACTTCTAAATAGATGTTTAATAGTAATTTTAATTTATCATTATTTGTATGTTTACTGTCTATCTGTATTCAGTTATTAGGGTGGTCAAATAATGGATCAGAAATTTTAAACAACTCAGTAAATGATAAGGGTGGTCAATTGGCTGATGGCTAGGAGACAGCCACAATGGTTAAGAGTGGCATTTCTTCTTATACTTTCCAGAAAAAAAAGTTAAGTTTGTATATATGAAAGAACAAATTCAAAGAAATTATTTTCTTTGAGGTAATTATGTAGACAAGATATATGAAAACATTTATTTGGCAAAAATACTTTCCATATCTCTCTAAAAATATATCTCAAAGTTGTAAAAGCTTTTAATTAAAAAAACAACAAAAAAAAACCTGTGTACATTTGAATTATAAAGTACCTCGTTATCATTCCAAAAATTTGAATTTGGTAATATATAACTCAGGCTAGAAAATGAACGCTGAAATTCTCTCAATTTAATCGGGCTGTCAAGAAAATATGGAATTCCAAAGCTATCCCCAGATATATATGCAAGAACAGCTTTAACTGATCCTCCAAAAACACCTAAGAAAATTTAAAATATTTGTGATATATGTATATACATATATATATATATATATATATATATATATATATATATATATATATATATATATATATATATATATATATATATATATATATATATATATATATATATATATATATATATATATATATATATATATATATATATATATATATATATATATATATATATATATATATATATATATATATATATATATATATATATATATATATATATATATATATATATCAGAGCCGGATGGCAGCACAATTCTGTCCGCTACTCCGCAACATACAGAATTTCTATTTGGTAGCTGAGTTGCAAAAGTGCTTTTACTAAGATAGTTTTGTAGAATACTAAGGTTGCTACCAAAGAAAAATCAAAAACGCTATTCCGCTACTATTTAAATTAAGAAATATCATTTGAAGTTGTTTAAGTTGTTAAGACTTTTTTATTTACTGAAAACGAAGCGATAGAAAATAATTTTAATACTTTGATAGGTTTACATCTATCAAAGTATTAAAATTTTCTTGTGTTATCAAAATAATCTCAGATGTATGCAATTTGATTTTAAAACTTTGAAGAAGTGACGTTTGTGCTTTATACAAAATGTCTGCAACTAACAAGATGTATTATTTATATTATGTATACATACGCATTAGTCTAAAATTTTCTATTATCTCATTGAAGTAATCAAAAGTTTAAGAATATTTTATTAAAATACAATTTCACAACAACTGCCAGTTTCTTATAGGGAAAAATTATAAATGATGCAATATAATCAATGTTCTTTACATTTGAAATTTCTTGGTGTAAAATAATGCTCATTCTTGTTACTTTTTAACTTTCAGTTTTTTAAAATATTTTTGTTTAATGGTAAGGTTCTTTTAGTTGTAGTTTTTATTTAAAAAAATAATTTTAAAGAGTCAAGATGGTAAAAGAAGCCCAATCTAGGAAGCTCTTAGCAGATATCATGTCTAACCTGCACTATGAGTTAAGTATAAACGGGAGAGTGTATAGAAGCAATTTATTTCAAAAACTTCCAACAGAAAACTGTTTCTTGTTTCAAAAAATAATTTGCAAAATTAAAAGTGTTAAAGTCAATTGAATTTTGGTATTTCAACTAGATTCTTTTAATCCTCAGGTTGATGCAACAACTATAGACAATGGTTTAAAATATCTTAGTACCTTCAACCAGTATGGTTTAGATGAGTAGGAAAAACAGAGAAAAAAAATGAATCCTGAACTGGTCAACTTGATGCCTTTCTTTTTGGAGAAGATTTCTATAAATTTGCAATGATGATATCATTCTACTAAAGCATCATCCGTGTGCAGCTTAGACAATGAACTTGCTGGCTTGTAAGAATAGCTAGAAATTGCCAGGTTTAAATTTAAATCCCAGGACATTGTTTTTAAAGCCAGTTGCAAAGACTTGTGGGATATGGTATATCTAATATAAGAGGACAGTGATGCCAAATGACACCAAGTCTATCTATGATGTATTAAAAAAGCTATCAATAAAAAAATATAATATTCTATATGTATTGTTGTATATGAATATAACAACCTAAATTTTAAGGTTTACATTTGAACGGTGTTTCCATCCTTTTAAGCAACCATGTTACAAGCTGCTAGTTGTCAACTACATGTGGCATTAATATAGCATAGTCGACAATACAACAGATGGACAAAAAGATATACATTTTTTGTGTGCGTAATCAACACCACAAAATTAGATTTTGTGCCAGAATCCAAAATCTCACTAGACAAATGCTGGTGACATCGACTTAAGTTACAATTTACTTATTTAAAAATAACAACACTAAATAAAATTAAATTTAGTGTAAAACACTAGAAAAATTGCAAAACAATTTAAAAAGTGTTGCTTTATATAATTCCATATGGATATCAGAAACTCAATGTGGTTGAAGAAGACAAAAGCTTTTTCTTTTGCTTTTTTGAAAAAAAAACAACAAAAAAATTTAGGCAGCGGACTAGTTATAGACTAACACAACTAATTATGAAGTTTGATAAAGTAGCGGAAGAGCAGTAGTGGTTTCTGGTTCCAAATATGCAAAAGGTAATGTTAGGGGCACTTTCAAATATTTGGTAGTAATGCCCAGCTCTGATATATATATTCATATACATATAAATATAAATATATATATATATATAAATATATATATATATATATATATATATATATATATATATATATATATATATATATATATATATATATATATATATATATATATATAAATTAAAAAGAAAACTAAAAATATATATTTAAAACATTTTCAGGGAAAAAATCTACTTTACAGTAAAGTAAATTAAATGTTACAGTAAAGTAAATTACTTGTTTTTGAATTTGATTAGATGCATTTTCATCATGATCCAATTTCATCTGTTTATTAGTGCTTAAAAGTATTTAAAATGTAAACAAAAAGATGATTATCTTTTAATTTCTGTTTCACTTTCATCTTGTTAACTTTATGAATTTTAAATTTTTTTTTCCACAGCAACTTTAATTCAACATCATCAAATCATATTTAATGTAAATAAAAATAATATTGGACCAGATAAACAAAAAGACAAACATGATTTTTGTTTGCTTGTTGTATTAGTTATAATAAAAAAAATAAGATTTTTTTTCTATTTCGAATTTTTTAAATTACTCAAATAAGCTAGTAATACAAAAACAAATTAACGGGCAAAGTTAAATAAAGCCAAAGAATAATTTAATTCATTTTAAATCAAATGTTAAAGTTCATTTTTTTAATTTTTAAAATTGTAAAAAAGTAAGTGCCAAAAACAAACATCATTTCACTTGCAAACTTGAAATCTATAACACCAATACTTAAAGGCAAAAAATATGTTAATTTTCAATTACTATTTCATTCTCACCATTTAAGTATTTCCTACCAGATATTTATTCTCCAAAGACACAATTCCACAATTTTTGTCAATTAATTTTTTAACAATCAAAATTAGGAACACTCTTTAATTGCTTTAACCTACTTATTAAATATCTAATATCAAGGATAGAAAAGTGTTCCAAGATTTCTTCAAAAAACTCTGAGAGAAAAAAAATAAAATTTGCAAACCTGATATTGTAATCCAAGCTCTAATAAACTTATCTTTCCATTCTTGTGTTTGTTTATTTAAAAAGTAGAGAGAGTAAGGAGCACCCATACTGTGTGATATCAACATTATAGATTGATTACCATTATCATAATATGTTTTTTCAATCAACAGACGCAAATTTTCAAAATAATCTCCAGCATGATCTATGGAAAAAAATGCGGTAACTAGTTTTTCTGTATTATTTATTTCAAACAAACTGGTAACTAGTTTTTCTGTATTATCTATTTCAAACTTTTTTTACAATGAGTAAAAAAAGTTTGAAGCTTGTATATGTTTTTATACTATTCATTTTAATTGTAAAAATATGCTACAAAAGTATGTTTTAAACATTTATAAATTAATCCTTGACAATTCATGCTAAAAGTATTGTTAAACTTGACAATTCATGCTAAAAAGTATTGTTAAGTATTGTTAAAAGTATTGTTAAGCTCAGATTCTTTATGTTTATCAACTTGTGCTTATTTCACAAAAAGTATTAAAAAATAAAATTCAAATTTTGTTAAACTGACCAAAAAAACAAAACTATTTCATTCAGGAAAAACATACATGTGTTGCAAAAGAATTTAACATAATAGTCTGGGTTTTCAGAATTCTTTGGAAATTTGTAAACTTATAAATATTAGATTTAAGGACTGTTAAAAAACTAATTTAAAATTAAAAAACTGTTAGATAATAAAGACTATTTCTTTTTTTTGTATAATCATTTTGCTTAATTGATTGATACTTTAAAGTTGTTTAAAGTAGTGCATATTTCCTTGTATACAACAGACTGCTAAACGATTTTTATAGTATAAATGGAGTGCCCGATATAAAATTATCAAGTTATTCATATGCTTATCTGAGTCGAACTCATCAGTGGAACGGGCCTTTAGTCTTCAGACATTGCTTATATCAGACCAAACACTCAGAATCAACCACAAAACATTTAAAGCTATCTTTACCATTAAAATCAATGATCCAAATATTAGTGATGATAGGAAAAATGTAATCGAATGGCTTACGGATATATTTTTACAAAAAAGAAAAACAGCTATTTTTGATCCCATAATTCAACTACTACAATAGCAAATGACAAAAAGATGACATTGATTATGATAGTTTAGGCAGTGAAGATGAATGGGAAACACCTGAACTGAGTGAAAGTGAAGAAACTGCATTCGATTATGATATTTTGGACTAATTTATTTAAAATGAATATTTATAAATAATTTATATATTTATAACTTTATATATTCCTCTTGTATAATAAAAATCATACTACATGATTTCTTCATATATTATTTTCGTTTTTATACTTGCACTATATTTAATACATTTAAATATATTTAACAGCAATAAACTTGATATATAAAATAACACTGCATTTAATACCCTTCTATTGGTTCTATTCATTAAAAAATGTAAAAAAAGATTTGTTTTCTTTTAAATTCATAACGCTTTTTTTTATACACGCCAATATTATATAAGAAGAATATATTTAAGAAGTATATATACCAGAATCTTAAAAATTCTATTTTACTAAGTCTCTTAGAAATTAAAAATTAGATTACTACAAACTTTAACTTACATATCACATTAACATAACATATATTTTCTCCTAATTTCTAAAAATAATATAAAACTAATTACGAGTTTATACAAGAGTATGATAGTAAATTGAACGGAAACAATAGTAATAATTAAAATTTTAGTCTAAAAAGTTGAAAAACTATTGTAAAAGAATAGAACTTTTTGGTTAAAGGTTTATTTAAAAAAAGATTTCAATATAATTGTCACTGTGTCTTTATAGCTTAGAGATACCATGGTTAAATTTTTAAAATATAATTTAATTTACAAAGCACAAGAAAAATGAATCCACTAAAGAAGCACAATATTAAAATATAAACTTTTATTTTGCTAATTAAACAGTTACAATTACAATTTTCATATAATCATGTAAAAAATAAATAGCAGCGTAAACATAATCATGATAAATAACATTTTTTATAATAATATGTATTTACTGTTCTAATCAGTCAGGGACTCAAAGAAGGTAAAGATGATGTGTTTTAACATCACAACCTTTTCATAGAGCCCCTATATTCATTCATTATAAAAACGCTTTTATTTTTAAAAATAAAATAAAAATTCAATAAAAACAAAGCTTATATTTTTTTAGTGTAACAAATTAAAAAACAAAAAATGTTAAAAACAAGAAAAATAAGAAGAAAAATAAATAAATAAAAAAATACTGTAAACAAATACTGTAAACTTTAAAATGTCAGAAATTAAGAAGATGCATTTTAGTTTCCCGTTTAAATGATGAATGCTTTTTAGGTCTTAAATATTTTTAGGTCTTAAATATTACTTTTTAAGTTTTAAATATTAAATTCTTTTTAGATCTTAAATATTTTTATTTTGGAAATGATTCTATATTGATGGGCCACAGTTTGTAATTAAAAAATTTGACTGATGTGATTTAATTTTCCATTAGTGATAGTTGTACCTGGTACTTGAACGCAAATTATATTTTTCAGAAAATGATCTCAAGAAAATATCTGAAACACTTGGTACGAGGTTGTTCTTATACTTATACATAAAAATTAATATCTGTAATGTGTTAAGCTTCTCAATATCTAGAACCATCATACTTTTCATCACCGGGGCTGGGTTTACTAACCTAGTTAAATAGTTTATTACTTTGCATGCATGGTTTTGCAGGCTTTGCAATTTTAACAGTTTTATTTTATGGGTGCTGGCCTATACAATAAAAAATGTTATATTTTATTCCATTATTTTAATAAGTCAATATATTAATACTTAAATAGATCTTGCAAAATTGCTACTTTTACAGCAAAATTTTTTAAGCAAACGTCAAGATGCTTGAATAAAGGAATGTGATGGTTGCGAAGGTTGTTTTTCTGCCATTTTTTGCGTTGTTTTCAAATTATTGTTTTTACTATATCTTGAATAAACTCAACAAAAATCCAATTATACACCTGATAAAACTGCAGAATAAAAGAATAAAGTCTGAATAAAAATCAAAAAAAAACCAAAATCAAAACATAATAACAAAAACTCACTAAGTAGACACACTTAACTCTGAGCAAAAGATAAAAACTGCTGTGTAACTAAGAAAAACTATCATCTCAACTTTAAAAGTATCCAACTATTCGAAGTTTAATTACCAAAGTCCTTTAAAATGATTTGTCACTCTCCTACTTGTTAATAAAGTGATTGTAGAAATTTTATATACGATGACATTTTCATTCACAAAGAACAATAAATGAACTTTTATAATATAATTAAGATCATTCATATATTTATAAAACAACTATATGATGTAAAACAGTTTTTTATATATTGTTTTATTAAAAGGATTTATCATTTGTATATTGTTTTTTATTTGTTATTTAATTAAATAATTAAATAAAATTCAAATTATAAAATAAAAAATTATTTACAAAACACATTAGGTTTTTTTGCAAGTTATTTTTCTGTTTTTTTATTGCTAAAAAAACATTTATTGTTACAGTTAAATTTTTACTCAAAACATAATAATTTTAATTTTTCAGAAATGCCCGTGCAAGACTATCTAGGCAGATGCCCTACGAAGACAAGTTTAGACAGGCTATTTATAGCTTGTGCACTTATTTACTCTTATATATATATATATATATATATATATATATATATATATATATATATATATATATATATTTGTTATTCACCTCCTCAAGGCCGAGAAGGCCACTACAGATGAGGAGGCTACTTTATAGTGGTTATAACTTTCTCTCAACTCTATAACTCCGAAACACGAACCTTGACGAACAAGGCGGCTGCGCAGAGAAACAAGTATATATATATATATATATATATATATATATATATATATATATACTTGTTTTTTACATATTTACATATTTCTTTAGTACGCATATTCAACAAAATCAAATCTTGCAACTTGAATTTTGAAACTCGTGTCATTCGCTATTTTGACTTGTTGTTTAAACTTCATGCCACTTTTTTTTCTCACACTATTGACTTGGTTTGCTGCTGCTGCTGTTGTTGTTGTTGATGATGAAGTCCCTGTTTTAGTTGTTGAAACTTCTCACCATTAAGTTTATCTTATTTTTTAGATTGCTATGCTGTTTTTACACCCTCAGCATCTTTAAATCTCTCATGTATTTTAAGTTTATTGAGACACTCAAAACCTTTAACCCATGGCAGGTCTTCAATTTTTTTTTTTTTTAGATTAAGGTATTGAATTAATTAGGATTTTTTTTTAGATAAAGGTGTTGGAACCTTTATTATAAAAGATAATTTACATTTTTGAAATTGTAGGCAATTTTACAATAACAAAATCAACATTTCATGATATTTTACAAGCTATACTTAAAATAAACATTTTTCAAATAATTTTAAAACATCTATACTTGAAGAAAGTTTGCTTTCAATTGACTATGAATGAACACAAAGAAAAACATAGGTTTCAGAAAAACATTAGCTTCAGATGATCTTCAAAAAAACTAAAAATAATACACATAAAATAATTTGTTATCACTATTTGTAGCTGTAGCTTTTTTAATCCAACAATATCTTCAGATAAAAATAGCACAATATAATAAAACAGGTTAGAAACGTTAAAAAAATATTTTAGGCATCAATAGCTAGAATAACCTATTAAATTGCATATAATCTAGTTTTTTTAATTAAATACATTATCAACTAAAATTTCTAATAGAGTGGTTTAAACAAGCTGTAACAGGGCCTAGAAACAGAAACTGAAACATTGCCTGTTTAGAGAAAAGCAATATTCTGGTTAAACTTATTTAAAACTGCAATACAAAAATCATATGGATATAACAAACCTTGACAAGTTTTCAAATTACTTTTAACATAATCCTTCTAAAGAAACCAATTTAAAAAGGTCTATTTCATCATATGTGATTCATTAAACACAAAGACCTTTTTAAGCAAAATCTTTTATTAAGCAAAAAATAGTTGAAGCTTTTCAAATAGCTCTATTTGCATAAATATCATCATAAACAATTTTTATATCAACAAACAAATTGTCAAAAAGCAACAACTGTTTTTTCAGTTTCTTTTTTTTTCCTCCATAGCAATAATGTTCCCTACAAACAAGTAACATCTTTTTTTTTTCATCACTTTTCCTTTTTAAAACATTTGCTTTGTTGACCAATGATTTATTGTCTTTTTTTACGGCTTGTTCCACATTCAAGGCAAACTTTTTTTCTAGCATCAATGAGGTTTTTGTATGGAAACTCTTTATTTTGCAGATCAATTTTAACAAGTTTTGAGCAAGTCTCAATAGCTTCAGGTTTAATGAACATCCTAGGAATACTCTTAACCAACTGCACAAGATCACCGTTCAAGTGAGGTAACATCAGAACATCTGTCTGATAGGGCTTCAGAAATGATTCAAATATGTTCACCAGGAAGCTAAAGAACTGAAATCTTACAAGGGAAAGTTCCTTTTTAACAGCATTTACAACAAACTTATATGATTTGCCAGATAGCCATTTACTTTTAGACAGAGGCTCCCAATAAATTACAATTTTTATAATAGAAGATCAAATACTAATTAATCTTTCTGTTACCTTTTTGTCTTCAACATGTCTGGTTGCACAAAATAAAAGCAGGAACACAGATACTTCAGTGATACTGGTAAAATCACTTGTTCTAGCAGGAGAATTGTGAAATAAGATAAAAGAAACTTTTGAATGTCTTTTAAATTTCCCAACCAGTTAATTCAACTCTTGTTTTAAAAGCACCGTGAATTATGTGTAGAGAATAGCAACCTATATCAATAAGTTTAGATAGTTTGTATTCTTCACATTTGCTTTGAGAAGTCTCTGTGAAATTTTAAGTAAACACTGGGTCCATCTATAGAGACCTGAATAACCTTGCTGATATAAAGATTATTTATCTTTTCATTAAAATGATTCAGCAAATCAAGACTGGTACTATGTTCCATAAATGAGGAATCCCAATACCCCACTTCAACTTGCATTTTTTCCTCTTTCCAATGATGGATGAATAAAATTATATGACAAGCTTGAGTTTTCTTGTTGAGGGATTCATCAAAAGACACAAGCAAGAGTGACATGTTCAGTTGTTGTTTAAGTAAAGCTTTGAAATAAGGCCCAAGACCATAAGTGATGTTATATCTAACTTGATTTGGTCTCATTTGAAAAAATTTAACAATCTCACTGTCAGGAAACATAGCTTGGAACAAATTAGTTTATTTTGTTAGAAATTTTATTTAAGCAACAATGCAATGCATATTTTTTTGCACAGATTTTATGAGAACTTGATCAAATAAGTTATAAAGATTGTGGCTTCATGTGTCCTTTTGAGAAACCAGCAATCTTTAAATCAGACTCTTCCACTGAATTAGGTGAATTACTACTTTTAGCAGCAGACGCTTAAGCAGACGTTTAAAAAAAACAGGAGAAATTGCAACTGAAATATGCTTTTTTTCTTTTAACTTGACTTCTTAGTGCTTGCACACCTATGTTTAAAAGTTCAATTATTTTTTGGCATTTAGCGTGGGTATTTTCTTTCCCTTTTATTAGCCAAAAATTAAAATGAAGGTAACTGTCTTTATTTAACCATGCTTCTTCGAAATAGACCTTTTTTCTGTTTTATTTATTATTTTAATTGTAAAAAAAAAGAGAAACAAAATATTATAAAATAAATAATATTTATGAGATGGGACAGTATGACAAATTTTATAGTTTTAGTTTTTAAAAGCCTCTGTTGTTCCACTAAATTTGCTGTTATTTATAAAATAAATTATTCTTTTAAACAATCTAACTTGATCAAAAAAAAAAAATATATAAATAGTATTTTTTTATAAGTATAAAAATATATATATTATTGTAATAATAATTTTCAAAAGCGTTTTTCATAATACAAATACATTAGAAAATATCAAAGTTGTTTATTCAAAATGTAATTTAATTAAAAATTAAAATGTAATTGGGAGTTTTAGTTTCTTATGTTTACTTTTTTATTTTGTTCTCTTATGTCAAGATTTCTTTTTTTAAGTTTGGTTTGTTGTTATTTTCTTTTAAGTTTTTACTTTGTATTTTTATAACGATTTAAAAAAAATTTAAAAGCTGTGGTCAAATTGTAAAAATAAAATATAATGTGTGTGGTCATATAGCAGCGTGCGATCACACACCTTTTCTTTAATTAACAAAATAAATTAGTGAGTAGCACCAATAAAAACATAATAGCTTAATTGTAAAACGAGTAAATTCTCAATCAGAATTCCCTGACTTTTCCATGACTATCTTTTTAAAAATAAATTCCCTGACTTTTCCAGGTTTTCCATGACTATAGTCAAAAACAACTAATTTTCCAGGTTTTCCAGGTACAGTACAAACCCTGTATTAATTACTGCATTCTTAGGGATTAGCTTTCAAATGCATTTATTCTAAAATTAATTCATTGCAAATAAATTTTACTTATTTAAGTAAAAGAATGATATCAGTAAAGTAAATAATGGTAGTGATGGTGCAAAGGTAATAATGGTAGTGTTGGTGCATAAGGTAAGGTTGGTGCCAATAAGTTGTATTGATGAATACTCAAAACTTTGTATTAAGTTCCTTATTGCAAACTTTTGCATTAATCTTGAAAAAAAAAAGATAAAATGTAATAGCTTGTATAATTTTCATTAAGAAATAAAAATGTATAAAACATACTTGGATCATAGCGAAAGTCATATGGTGCAGCACGTAACGATTTTCCTCTTACATAGCCAGCAGAACGAGTTAAAGCGTCAATAAATGGAAAAAAATAAACACCTGCAAAATGAATGTACGGATCTAGCCATTCAATAGCTGTTGTATTACCAAAATCTGGAACTCTAGTATAAACTCCTTTTGCATTTTCCATTGTTTTTGTAGTATCATTGTAGTTTGTTCTATTAATATTAAAAAAAATTTTGCTCAATAAGATAAAAAATATTTGCTCGATAAGACAATAAAAAATTTATTTATATTATATTATAAATAAATTTTTTATTGTCTTATAAAGTAATTATTTTCATCTTATTTTATTTTTTATCTTATTATTAATATATATTAATGTAAATTACAATATACTGTATTGTAATTTATGTTTATAATACATAATATTTATAATCTGAAAATTATTACAACAATTTAAAGTAAATAATAATACATTAAAAGCATCGAATTTGACTTTAAAAATTGTTCTGCCTTCTGTTGGGTCACTATAAAATTTAAAATCCTTAGAATGTTTGTATTTTAGAACCTTTAAAACTTAGAATCCATATTAGAATTTATAAAAATATAGAACCTTTAGAATGCTAATACACAACACAAAACTCTGTCAAAAATCTTCTCATTCACTGAAAAAACTTCTACTAACAGCCACAGGTAAACAACTATCAAAGCATATTCCCAGTCTTAATTACACCCAATCCTTGGCATGATAGCTCTTTGCGTAATGCTCCAAATTTAATATGTAACATAAGTGGAAAAAAAGACAATAGGCGTCTGTTTGCCTCACAAACAAACCAAAACTATAACACTGCAGTAAAACATAAAAGTTGCAGCAAAATAGCTGTAACAATAAAACTAATTAGGATGGTGTTCAAAGTATAGAATTTTAACAAATCAAAAATTAGACCTTATAATATTAAAAAAATTATGTTATGTTACTAAATATTTAACTCACAATATCATTGGCCGGTATTATAGAGAATTTACATTAGCAAACCACTTTTATTAAATCAATTTTTTTAATTTTTTTTAACTTTGTTGTTAAACAATCTACATAGCAAGGTAACTTTTTTATTCCTATAAACTGACATAAAAAAGCTCATGTAATGACAGGGTTAGAAAGATGAATTAGTTGAGACTATTATAAAACATCATTAGGAATTGTTCTCCCTATTTTGGACCCCTGTATATAATTAAATTGTGAAAAACAGTTCTAAGAAAAAAAAAATTAAAAAACTTCAAATCTTGTTAAAAAATTGTTATATTAGCCTCATAGGTCAGTCAGTGAATAAATAAAACTTTAAACTAGTGACACATTTACTAGAAATTATACCTAAATGTGTAATAAGTTATGCTACTATATATCAAAACCAAATCACCACATTTTGCCTAAATTCAATAATCTTGAACCATGTTTCATTTTGCAAATGAACGAAACAGCTTTGTCTTTAAAAAGTTCAAAATAATTGATTTTGTCCTTATCACACCTAGTTCACAGATAAAGCACCATAGTAAATCAAGTTTGACATTTTAAAAGGGAAGAATAGAAAACAGAACTCTGCCAGAATAGAAAACCAACCTAAAAATATTATTTACTATACTTTTTAAATCTAATTCACTCCCAACATGGCTGCAAGCAAACACTATTAAGTTGGGAGTTACTATAAAATAAAGAATAGAGTTAAAAAGTATGAAAACGGTTGATAGAAGACTTTAAAAGTTGAAGATTGTATGAGTCAGGAAAAAAGAAGATAGAAGAGTGTTCCAAAGAATTAAAGCGTGAGGAAAAAAACTTGACGAATAAAAGTTTTTAGGGCATGAAGAGACAGATACAGAAAAAGAGTACATCTTTACTGAATGAAAAAGTCAAGAATGAGTTTTGGCTGATTGAACATTGAGAAGAGAGCACCTTTGAGTAATGACCATAATAGTATTTATATAAAAAAGAAAAACTTACAACTTTACGACAATGGGAGAGAGACTTGGCAGATAAAACAGGTCCATCTTATGTTACAATGTTTTTGAACCTTGTCCAGAAGAGAAAGAATATCATTAGAAGAACCATACTAAATACTTTACTTCAATACAGAAGTAAAAATTTGAGTCATCAGCAAATAGAGTCACTTTAGATGTCAAATTGTCAGAAGATCATTAATATAGATAAGAAATAAAACAGGACTAATGATAGAACTTTGAGGTACGCCAGAAGTTACTGGAAACGAAGAAGAGTGTTGGCCTTTAAGGATGACTTTAATAAGGCGGTTAGAAACAACTTGATCTCAATCTCAAAAATTTTCCTAGATACACTATATAAAACAAGCTTATGGAAAAGACCAGCATGGTAGTACTTATCGAAAACTTTTGAAATGTCAAGAGGGATAGACTTGCCTCGCTGCCTCCATGTAATGCACAAGAGAATCTTACTGTTAGAGTGTTGGCAAGTCAACTATAGAGCAAGAAGATCGAAAACCATGTTGATTGCTAAAGTGTAAGTTGTTAGCCTTAAGATGTTAGAAAAAGACGTTAATTAAAGATTTAAAAACTTTGTTAATAATAGAGAGACTGATAGGACAATTACCAGCAGAAAGGAAAATATGAGAACGCCTTTGTAAAACGGTGACAGGAATGTTGTCTGGACCACAAACTGAAGAAGAGTTTAATTGAGAAATGAGTTTAGCAATAAAAAGGTGAGTCCGAAGAAGAGGTTGGAGATAAAAGACTTATCAAGATTATTGCATGGTCGGAAACACCAAAAGTAGAGCAATAAACATAAAGGAGAAACTGAATACAAGCTAGGGTCAGAGACAAGACACAAATCAAGGAGTGAAAATAAGTGATTAGGGTTGCTAGGAAACACAAAGTTAACTATCTGAGTAAGTGATTGAGATATACAGAAGCTATAATCTTTTGTGGCAGCAGGGCCAGTGGTGCTTGAGCCAAGCTAGTGTGATGAGCAATAATATTGAACAAGCCAGTGTTGTAAACAATAAACAAGTCACCAATAATAACAATATTGGCAGAGGGATTTTAATCTAAAAGAGTACAGTTTTGAGAAAAAAGAAAACGATAAAGAACTAAGAGAAAGGTGATAGAGTGAATAGGTGTTAAGAGAAGGCACATAAAAGAATGGTCAGAAGATTTAAACTTGATTTTTTGACAAATAGAGGAATTGATCCCTAAGTATATGTCCAAGCCAAGCATGTAACTATTGTAGTTTTTGCAAATCAAAGGATATCCGAAGAAGAGACAACTGAATTCAAACTAGTCGTACAAAGAGCAAGTAAGTCTGGTGAATTTTGTAAGAAATAAGACTCAACTGATGGAAGGTTACTTCAAAGACCACAATATTTGTGAAAGATATATTGAAACAGTTAGGTGATAATGATGGTTTTTATGTTTAATATTTTTGGTCAATTTGGGCATGATTTAAGTTTAAAGAGAACTTGACTAATTCATAAATAGTGCATAAAATCCTAAGCAATGAGCTATGCAGTTGTCTTGGTCCTGTTAGTTAATCTAAATTTGTAACTTAGGCTCCTTATGTAGCCTTATCAATGCACACCAAAAGCATTAACAGTGACACCATTCATATGTAAATTGTTGTTAATATTGCTAATAATCTAATTATTAGCAACTGTTAATGAAATCAGCCTTTATGAGAACTACCACAGAGTTTTGGAAATCTTACTGCCAACCGACCTCAGAACCTTTAAACTAAGTTTTAGAGCTGTATCCTCATTAGGAGATAACACAAAGAGTTGCATAGCCACTATCAAGGAGGTACAAGAAAAATCTGAGTAGATTTAAGAAGAATCCAGCATTCATCATCCTAGACAGGAAACAATGTATTACAAGTTTATGCCTATGCCAGCCTGAAAGATGAAGAAGGGTTGCGAGTTTGATTCAAAAGAATGATTCTGCTTACCTCTAAAGTCTTCGCCTTGGAGACCTTTTACAAGCTAGTAGCTGGATGCGGTCTGCCTGAGATCTCTAGCCTTTACTTAACCATGAGCTCCAAGGCAGCAGAATTTTAAGTCATAGCTTACTTCTCCAAGCCTTTGTCTAGAAAAGCAAACCCTACAAGAAAGCAGTACATGGGGCAGATAATACAGGGTTAAATGTTACCAGTATCAGGGTAACCGCTATGATTCTGAACTTGACTTGAAGTAATTAAAATAAGTTAAAAAACACAAGGGTAAAAACTACAAAAATAACAAATATGAAATTTACTTGATATTTTCAGCTAGACATTTCTCAACTATAGGGAAAAGCTCTTCAATGCTCAACCAAAGAGTAAACCAATTTGGGTACTGCTTATAGCACCAATAATATGTACTTTGATCTCTATTCAACTTTGCCTCTATTTGACTTCCACCAATTCCTGGTACTAAATAAAAAAAGTTTCAGTTTAAATAAGCTTATATTTCCTGGAAATAAATTAAAAAAATTCAGTTTAAATAAGATTCAACTATTTTACATAATTATATTACTACCCAGTATTAAACTTATATAAAATTTTTACTGATATTATGAGATTCATACTCTCTATTTTAAAATATTAAATTTTAAGCTAATTTTAAATTTAAAACTTTAAACTAATATTAAATTTTAAACTTATACTATTATTCAATTATATCAAAAGTTATAATTGACAACTTTTGTCAATTATAGATGATCGCAAAAAATATGCTTGGCTTTTTATTTCACCTTTACACACCAAAAACGAACAGACAAAGGAGCCAAATATTGTCAAACAACTGTATTAGTTATTACCTCATTAACTAATCTGATAGGTTTTAAAAAACTAATAAACAAATTTGAATCAGAATTTCTGAAATTAGTTCAGATTACACTGAAAATTTCTTCTTGTATTCGCTTTAGTCAGAATAACCATCACAACCTAATTTCTTTATAAAATTAAATATTTAAATTTAATATTGTACACGAAATCTATTTTTAAACGCTCAGAGATAATACTATGAAACTTAAAATTTATTGATAAATATAAGTTTAGTTTAAAATAGCACAAAAACTATTTCATCAACTTGTTGTTCTCACGTTTGGGGCAGTGTCGGCCGAATTTTTGGGGTTTTTTTGTTCCCAAGCTCCAATCATCGTAATTTTTTGCAAAGCATCCTTATTTTACATATATAACTATATATTTATAGTATAAACTTATAAATATTTTGAGTTAGCTCCATGTCTGGAAGTTATCTATCTCAAAGACTGGCGCTGCCACTGTTAAGAAAGTCTTTAATTCAAAGTATCTAATAGTAAAACGTGTCACAAGGCGTACTTAAATAACAGGCCTTCTCATCGCGCAACGGCTTGAAAAATGTGGAGGCTGATTTGGTTTTGATGCTCTCAACTATTAAACAATTTTTTTTTTAAGTTTTAAATATTTAAAAATTCTTTTAACAATATAGTAGGAGCTTGTGATTTGATTATTTTAGTCTATTTCTCTAAATGCATAACCTGATTAAATAAAAAACTAAGGATAAAAAGAATGTAAGGCTTAAACCATGCCATTTTTTACTAAATAATATTTTATCATTTTATAAAGAAGTCGATATTTTTATTACAAAAACGTTTATAAAACAAAAATAATTGTTATTTTGTCAAGAAAGTAAAAAAAAAAACAACACCTTGTAAGTTTAAAAATAACAATAACAAAAGATAACCAAGCTACTTCTATGTATTTGTATACAATGAAACATTAACAGAAAGAATTAAAAAGTAAAAATATAAATTAACAATTTTTAAACGAAATATCATCTAAAGTTAAATTGGAAACTTTTTATGGTATATTTATTCACAAAAGCTAACAAAACAGTTTTAAAGCTTTAACTTTGGTTTCCTTGTCTGATGCAGGTGAATGCATATAGCAAAAATTGTTAAATAATATATTTGTAAGAATATAACAATGGTTTCTTGTAATTATGGTTAAACCATAAATACATGCAATATCCATGAATAAGCAGGACATAGAATATCTACAAAAGTTTGATGTGCCAACAAAATTAAACAAAATGTAACTTAAGAATACCCATTCACAAAATGTATCACTGGGTATTTTCAGACCACCACGATCTAAGGCAGATGTAAAATTTCCATAATTACTATAATACAGATAAGTGTCATCGTTATCATCTTCATTGTCTTTTCTAGAAATATAACCTGCAATGTAAACTAAAGATGACTTAATATTCGATGAAAGTTGGTCTAAAAGTTCATGTAAATGATTAAACATCTCACACTCATCTTCTGAAAGTTTATAAAAACAATTATCACAAATATGACCAGATGTAAACTCAGCACTTGAAATGTTGATAGTTTTCTGAAGAAATAGTTTGGTTTTGTTGATATTCCACTTTTCAATTACTTGTTGAGTATTTATAAAATAAGTTCCCCCACTACCTTGTCTGAGTTTTCCAAATGCTCTTTCTATGGGGTCTGTTGTAAAATTCCCAAGCAGTACATACATTTGAGAATTGTCTAACAAATGCTTACTTAGTTCAACTAAACCATTACAAGTTTGATATAATGCATTGCTTGTATCCATGGTTATACTTCTAATTCTTTTTCCTTGAATCAATGTTGGCTTTAACATTTCAGAAAATGAAATTTAACATGTATCAACTTTTTGTCTCTCAATTGGCCTTGGGTTAACAGCAACATAAGTCAACTTAGACATTTTAACCAATTCACCTTCTTATAACTTTTGAAGCTTTTTGATGTGATCCCATTTAGCATTATATTTTTTTCCTCTATAACTAAACTCAATTTCACCAGACTTTTCAGTTATCCAATTGTTTCGTATACACTTTATTAAATGCACAAAATCAAAGAGTAAAAAAATGACATCAGTTGTTAACCATGGAAATATGCAATCAAATCGTTTGAAAAATGCTTGATTTACTCTATTATTATCATTAATTAAAGCAATAACTTTTCCATTTGCCTTCGTAATTTGGTTGATTAAGATAATAGTTTGATCATATAAAAAATCTGCATCTAAATTATTTACTGGTAACATTTTAACTAAAAATTTTGGTCCTCCATAAAAACATACAACCATGAAAGCCAATACAGTTTTTGCAAGATTTGATTCATCATTTACTGCTTTACCAAACAACTGTTCTCCATGATAAGTTAGCATAGATTTAACATAAACTTCATCTAATAATAGTATACATTGTTTTTGACCATTGTAGAGTTTTGAAAAAACACTACAAATAAAAGTATTATCATCAAAGTGTGAAACTTTTGAAGTTAAACGTGTAAGGGTAGCAATACTAGGAAGTTGAAAATCATTTCTTAATTGATTGTATAAACTACCTGACTGTGCAAAATACTCAAAAGCTCGAACAATTACTTCAGGCGAATATTTTTGCTTAAGAATATTACTTGAGTTTATGTTACTCATGCATTCAAATTGCTGAATTAAAACTGTTTTCTTTTCTGACTTTTCAAAGGAAATCAAATATCGTAATGCCTCATGAACTTGCGACCAACATTTGAACTTATGAATACGATTTTTAACTAAGGAAGCAATAGTGCATCTTACTCCAGCATGATAGGCTTCATATGATAAGTCATTAAATACTATTAAACAAAATTTATTAATACCAGTATTGTTTTCATGCTCTTTTGATTGAATACAACAGCTATTTAAACAATTATAATAAACAACTGAATCATTAAGTTTTTCTAGAGATAACGAATTACAAAAATTTTCGAATGAATCAATTTTGTAAAGCTCTTCGAATTTTGAAATTTCATCTTCTTTTATTGATCTTACAGAGCTTTTGGATTTTGTTGTTGTTCTTTTTTCTGGTGGAGGAGTTGGCACTAAACTCTTAGGTATTTGTTCGAATACACTAGGTGGATCTCGAGGTCTTTCTCTTCCTTTTACTTTAATAACTTGGAAGTTTGGTGGAAAATGTTTTGCACAAACTACAGTGTCATGTTTGTCTGGTATATTTTCTCTTGGGATTGCTTTAATCCATCTTAGACGCTCTACTGGATCTCTCGGTAATCTGAAAGTAGTTGTCTTATCTTTTACTGAGTCATAGTTAGAGTTACAACCAGTAACACAACATTTTCTGGGCATTTTTAAGTCTTCTGGTAGGGATACAAGTTATTCGTAGTAACTTTTGCCGCTAACTAAATCAGCCTCCACATTTTTTAAGCCGTTGCGCGATGAGAAGGCCTGTTATTTAAGTACGCCTTGACGTGTCAGCATAGTTTCCACGGCGCACGCAGGAGTATTTGACAATTTTAGCTGGCCAAAATTGGAATTTTTAGAAGTGGCCGTACCCACTTAATTACCTACCCTTATTATCTCTCGATAATGGTCGCTTAATGAGCAGTTAATGGTTTGGTTATAAAAGTAGTAATTGGAACTACACAGTCTAGTTAAATATCCGATCTATATCTGCGTGGTTCATTTTATTTACGAGCGATTTTAGTGGTGTTTATTGAAGCTGTGTACAAATGTTTACAATAGAAGTTTTACAGTGTTATATCATGGATGAATCTATGACAGGTATGTTCATTATTTACTCTTACTACCATTTTGAAATATTAATTACCACAAAAGTTGTGTACCATGAAACTTAGCATTTTTTTAACGAATTTTAAAGTAAATTTTGACTTTAAAATTGAAAAAGTTGTAGTGCGCATTGAAACCCTTTTAGTTTTTTTAGTTTTTCTATGAGTTTATACCACTAGCTATTTAAAAATCTTAATTTTAACTCCCTGTTGATGCCATCTAAATTTTAATCATGTTCTAAGCACATCAAGGTCAGGGTTATATATATATATATATATATATATATATATATATATATATATATAGTCAGGAATATATATATATACATCTTTTTCAACTTAATTTTTTTTTCTAGATGGGTCATCAGGAATGTAAACAATCTCTCGTTTGGATTTCTACAACAGTATTCAGCAGCAGGAGGCTCCAAATTTCAATGAAAAAATGGACTTAGCTGATCAAAATTTGTTATCAAGAAATCAATATACCGAAGAACTAAAAACAGTATACAAGCGTCAAATGTCGAGGTTGAAAGCTATTTTTAGAAAAATGTGGTCGTTTTCATCAAGAACTCATGAAATATTTATTAAGAAGCATGGCCCTTGGCTGCAAGGGAGTTTCCATCCACTCCATCATCAGCGACCAAGAAAAAGTTTTGTCTATTCTAGTGAACGTTCAAAGAGAAGAAAAACAGAACAGCTCAGGAAAGATGTGGAACCAGATGCTATTGTTTTTGCAGCTGAAACTTGTTTGACAACAAGTGGCAAAAAAAGTGCTGCAACCGTCCCCAAAGATCTTAAAACATCTCCCAAACGAGCGGGAAAGTGTAAAAAAGC